GGGGAGGGGGAGCGAGCGGCGAGCCGCCGTGGCTTGCCTGGCGGCGGCGGCAGCAGCAGCATCTGCTTCAAGACGCTGACTCGAGTATAAGCCGAGGGGGGCATTTTTCAGCCCCAAAAATGGGCTGAAAAACTCGGCTTATACTCGAGTATATACGGTACTTGTCCAATGCAAGAAACCAGGAACCAGGATAGAGTTCAAAAGTACTACAGTTTCATGCTACCTATACACAAGAATCTGATCTACTAACAGGCAAAGCAAATTGGCACTAAATAAAGAGTCTACAGAATTCACGGGAGACTGGACTTATTTTCCTTATGGGAGTGTAGTGACTCCAAACTGATGACACATTTGACCCCGCCCTCGGGCTCAGCCTGGTCATCTCCAACAACACTATTACACATAAACAGTGGATGTGTTGACTTGGGATGTCCCAAGGGCGTGATGTAATGTGGAAGAGAAGGTTGGCGTGATCCATATCTGGAATATTTGGAATAGCTCTCATAGAACCAGACTTTGGGCTAAAATAGAGAATTTGCTTCCTGATTGGTGTCTTATGTATCTAATACAGGCATTATACCAAGATAGTATAGATGCAGCAGAAAAGGTTCATTTACAGACAATATTACAGTGATTAAGGGGTGATTCTGTCCAGCTCAGGCAGTTAACCCTTTTTAAAAAATATTTCTTCACAGGACCTTTCAGCAATCACCCGAATTTGGAAACGGAGACCCATCCTGAGCCCCCTGCTCCCAAGCAGCCACTGCTTCCTCCAAAACGACCGTTGTCATCCTCTTCGCAGGAGACGAGTGATCTGCAAACAAGGGAATTTGGCTTTGGCAACAGCAGTGCAAGGACTGTGTCTTCTTCCACAACTGCAGCTGCCCCCCGGACTGCTCCTACCCCTGCCCCCCGGACTCTGCCCTCTGCTCCCACAAGTGGCCATGCTTTGGCCACTAATACTAGCAATGCCACCCCGACAAAGCAGCCCCCTGTGCCACCACCCAAGCCTGTTAATAGGAATAGCAACCCCTTAATAGGTAAGTGGCTGTTTTTTTCATCCCAACCTTCCCCCCCCCCCCCCCCCCCCCCCCCCATTCAATTGTGTCCTTCTCCGTGGCAAGTCCAAGGACACACTCCTTGGCAGTTTTCTTGGCAAGATTTTTCCAAAGTGGTTTGCCATTACTTCTCTCCTAGGGCTGAGAGAAAAGGATTGGCCCAAGATTATCAAATTGGATTTGTGCCTAAGATTGGACTAGAATTCACAGCCTCCTGGTTTCTAACCCGATGCCTTAAACATTACATCAAACTATCTCTAACACCCTAAGTAAGACCATCTTTAATTTTGATTTGCTGACATTTGATCTCTTTTATTCCCCCAAGACACACACACTTTTTTTTCCAGTGGTGTTGTTTTTAACATGGCTGTTGGTTCATTAGGTTGTCCCTTCTCTTCCAGCTCAGTAAAAAAGCTACATCATGTTTGAATACAAATATCAATTCACTTTTCTTTTACAATGTTTATATCAGTTTAAAATCTTATCGCACAATAGATTGTATCGCACAATAGATTGTATTACAGATGGACCTAGAGAAGTGGAAAGGCATCCTTAATGTTCCTTGTAGACATGTGCAACATTTTCCAGGGTATTTTGCTCTGATTGGTGCCCAAGTATAGGTCTCTCCTTCAAGGTATAGATTGCAACTGTTTTTTTAGATATGTCTCTCAGGAGTCAGGTAGCACTTTTTTGACTAACAAATTTTAATAAAAGGTATAGGATTTATCAGATGCAGAGAGTTGGCTAGACTAATGTAGAATTTAAATGGGAAGGAGGTCGGTGGGGGAAAGGAAGGGAATATAGGTTGATTAATTGGACAAACAGACCAAAACTTTATTTCAGTCTTTGACCAGTTATGCATATGCAAGTGCTGGATACATTTAAAACAGATTAACATACCTTATCAATTAACAATTGTAATGCATTTAAAAAAAACACTGTGTTTGTTGAGACCTTCTGAAGTAGCCTCAAACCTGTTGAAATTTGTGAGGTCAACTATTTCTCACATGATGGTGCTATTAAAATCCCACTTTTCCAAAGCAGCCACTTTGAGGCCTTCAATGATTGTTCTGGAAGGTTGAAATGCTCTGATATTTCCTTGTCCTTGAGTCCATGATGTCTAATCTGATGTCTAACTTTAAGATGTGTGGACTTCAACTCCTAGAATTCCCAGTCAGTTGGTTGGGGAATTCAGGAAATAAACTTCACACATCTTAAAGTTGCTGAGATGGAGAAACACTGCCTTAATCTCTCCATTTGGTTCTTTACGTATGCCAGTCTTTCTGTTCATTCTTTTACAACCTAGAGTTACAGCAAGAAACAAAAAGCCCAAATAGTCATCATATCACCTTTTTTTTCAAGATTAAAAATTGCTCCCAAGTTTAAAAATAGAGAAAGCCAAATCACCTCAAGAAAGTCACTATGACGTGAAGGGCAAATCACACATTTTTTTGTTCCAATGTCAACCTTTCCTTCAGGAGCTGAAATTAAAAATGTCTTCTGTGGAGAGAAATGAATAAGATAATAAGATAAGTAACAATGCAGCTTTTCAACGAAAGTTCTACCTTTTGAATAGAGTGCATAGGATAATGATAGTGATATCATAGTGATAATGATAGCAATAGAATTGGAAGGGACCTTGGAGGTCTTCAAGTCCAACCCCCTGCTTGGCCAGGAAACCCTGCCTATACCATTTCAGACAAATGGTTGCCCAGTCTCTTCTTAAAAACTTCCAGTGTTGGAGCATTCACAACTTTTGAAGGCAAGTTGTTCCACTCATTGATTGATCTAACTGTCAGGAAATTTCTCCTTTTTAGTTCTAGGTTGCTTCTCTCTTTGGTTAGTTTCCATCCGTTGTTTCTTGTCCTGCCTTCAGGTGCTTTGGAGCATAGCTTGACTCCCTCTTCTTTGTGGCAGCCCCTCAAATATTGGAACACTGCTATCATGTCACCCCTAGTCCTTCTTTTCACTAGATTAGACATACCCAATTCCAGCAACCGTTCTTTATATGTTTTAGCCTCCAGTCTCCTAACCATCTTTGTTGCTCTTCTCTGTACTCTTTCTAGGGTCTCAACATCTTTTTTACATCGTGGTGACCAAAACTGGATGCAGTATTCCAAGTGTGGCCTTACCAAGGCATTGTAGAGTGGTATTAATACTTCACATGATCTTGATTCTATCCCTCTGTTAATGCAGCCTAGCACTGTGTTGGCTTTTTTGGCAGGTACAGCACACCGCTGGCTTATATTTAAGTGATTGTCCACTAGGACTCCAAGATCCCTCTCACAGTTACAACTATTGAGCCAGATGCCACCTATACTATACCTGTGCGTTTAGTTTTTTTTGCCTAAATGTAGAACCTTACTTATTATGTTGATCACTTCCTCAGCGCCTGCATATACTAGGGATTAAAATGGGATTAAATTTATGCTAAGTAATTTGTTTACTAAGTGTTTTTGGAACCTGGTCTTCCCTACCTTAGGTGGAGCCTGGGGAGAGTCAGATTGCAGAATGCTGTAGACAAGGACAGGGAGGAAAGCGCTACAATATTGTGATATTACAATGCTGAAATCTGGTGGAATTTTGATAGCGTGATCTTTGGGCCTTTTTTTAGTTGTTTTACAAAACCTGCAGACCTCCCAATGTTTGCTGCCATGCTCTCCCAACTGTGGTTTCCAGCTATTATATAGGTAGAAGAAGAAACCAGAGTGATTGGCCATCCAGACGTGGTCTTCTGTGATTTCCATTTCTAAATTTGTAAAAAGGAAAGAAAGGAACAAAGAAAAATCATGCTTTTTTGGGGGGGGGGGTTCATACATAGTTGACGTCCAGGGGTCTTCAAACTTGGCCCTTTTATGACTTGTGGACTTCAACTCCCAGAATTCGTCAGCCAGCGTGCCCGGCTGAGGAATTCTGGGAGTTGAAGTCCACAAGTCATAAAAGGGTCACGATTGAAGAGCCCTGACCTACTTCTTTCCAGGGATGACCTCATGTCAGTTAATGCCCCTTTGGAAAGTTCAAAATCCTGCACCCCCAGCCCTTGAACATTCCCGTTCCTGCTCTAAGAATTGTGTAAAAGATTGGCCATCAAAGGCATTTGGATGAAAACTGAAAAGTTGACCTGTTTCAGAATCAGTCGGATTTGTAACAAGCCATGATGGTATCCAAATGTCTACAGTACATCATGATGCAACTTCACACTCATGATGTCTGACAGGGATATGTAAGCTGCATCTTTTGTCTCATGATGCACATGTTGTATCCTGCCCCTTGTTGCCTCCCCAAAGAGGTTCATGATCAAAATACTGTACAGGTAGTCTGGACTTACAAACATTTGTTTAGTGACCGTTTGAAGTTACAAAGGCATTGTAAAAAGTGACTTACAACCTTTTTTCACACTTATGACCATTGCAGCATCCCCATAGTCATGTGGCAGCTGGCAGGTATTTATGACAGTTGTTGTGTCCTGGGGATATGTGATTACCATTTGTAACCTTCCCAGCTGGCTTCTGACAAGCAAAGTCATTGGGAGAAGCCAGATTTGCTTAAGTGTCCAAGTGATTCACTTAGCAATTCCAGTAATTCATGTAACAACTATGGCAAGAAAGATAGTAAAATAAGCTGAAACTCAGTTGTTCTGTCTTGCTTAGCAATGAAAATTTTGGGTTCAGTTGTAGTCCTAAGTTGAGGACTACCCGTATGGACACTTGTGAAAAGCATTTCCCTGCGATATAATATGCTACAGTTTTTCAGCTAGTTGTGTCTATCAAATAGTCTAATAGTCCCCAAACCCCAATCTGTGGACCGGCAGCTGTCCACGGCATGCCAGAAACCAGGCCATGGAAATAAGTGAAGCCCCATCCACAAAATGCAGGCAGCACACAAAACCATGCCCCTCCTCCAGTACTGGAAAAGCTTCTTTCCACGGAACTGGTCCCTGGTGCCCAAAAGGTTGGGGGCCGCTGGTCTCATGCACTGATCAAAATGTGATCTGCAGAACAGTATCTCTCACTTCTGAATACAGATTTGTTCAGTTCTAGTTTGTTTATTTTCTTTTGTTAATTTTCAATATATATACTATATAAAGCCAGACCATCAGGTTGCTAGTAGATTTCATTGCATTGACGTCATGCCCAGAAATCAGCCTGGAGAACAGGCAGTCCAGTTCAAGAAAGCATTGGTTACGCAGACAGTCTCTGTTCCGTTCTTTTGCTTGCCATGTAAAAAGTCTGTTAGAGCTACCAACGAGAGTGTCTTTCATAGGCTGGCTGTTCACCTGGGCTGGTTGGAAACAGGACCCCAGTGGGGAGGGGACGAAAGTGAAACCAGCAGGTAGCTAACGTAGTTTAGGGAAGGGCCTTGCAATACCTGTGGTTTGAGGGTGTGGAGAGAGAGAAGAGTGACATGTAAGACGATCTTGCAAATCTACACCTGTTCCTGCTCACCTGCTAAGAATTCATTGTGGAAGTTGGGGTTGGAGGGTGATGTTGCAAGTCAGCTCCGGATGCACATGGGGCTTTTGTTTCTGACACATAAAGCAGGGACAGCAAAAACTTGTCCAGTTGTGTAACCTGCAGAGCTTTACTACCCTGGAAATCTTACGGGATGGAACAACGCAAATACAGAACAAGGAAAAGCTCATTGAGCAGAAAGTAGCTGAGATTATGTAGGGAAATGTTTTAGGTTCAATCTTAAGACTGTGATTTTTAAACCATAAAACAGCTTGTTTGTCTTTGGCTTAGCACAGGGGTCTTCAGACTTGGCCTTTTTATGACTTGTGGACTTCAACTCCCAGAATTCCACAGCCAGGCACGCTGGCTGAGGAATTCTGGGAGTTGAAGTCCACAAGTCATAAAAGGGCCAAGTCTGAAGACCCCTGGCTTAGCACATGGTGTAAGCCAAGTCATTACGGGTTCTAAACCAGGCTTATTGTTGGGCACAATATGGATTATTTAACAAATCAGACTCACTGTGTGAGTTGGGCAGTTATATAAAGTTGTTTAATAAATCATAGTTAACACAAACCATAATTTAAAGTTATGAGTGAAACAGTTTGCAACTGAATGCAAAGCCCATAGCTCCAACATAACTTTGTCTTCATCCTGGCCCCACAATTCATGAGTAACCTTTTGGAGGACCCTGAGATTTGAGGTTACAAACAGGTAGTCCTCAACTCACAGCCATTCGCTTAGTGACCGAAGTTACAATGGCACAAAAAAACGTGACTTACGAGCATTTTTCACCCTGACGACCATCGCAGCATCCCCAGGGCCACGTGATCAGAATTCCTATGCTTGGCAACTGTCTTGTATTTATGACGGTTGCAGAGTCCTGGCGGTCACGTGATCCCCTTTTGCAATCTTCTGACAAGCAAAGTCAATGGGGAAGCCAGATTCACTTAACCGTGTTACTCATTTAAGAACTACAATGATTCACTTAACAACTGTGGCAAGAAAGTTTGTAAAATGGGTCAAAACTCACTTTACAGTTGTCTCATTTAGCAATGGAAATTTGGGGCTCAATTGTGGGCATAAGTTGAGGATTATCTGTATGTATGTCTGAAGGGAATTACTTCACTGAGATAAATTTTGAGTTGTAACTGGACAACCTGTCCTGTCTAGCAAAACTGCTTCTTGTTATATTCAAGATTGGTTTGCAAGGCAGGTAAAGAGACACGTCTTACCAATTTCCAAAATGAATTTTCCTTTCCCAGTAAAACTCACGAGGTTTATTTATAAGAATTGCTTATTTAATCTGATATTTGTAAGACTACTAAAGCATTGGTAACAATTTGTACAAAGACGACAAAGTGAGAGAAGAAAGAAGTTGGTTCTTTTCATAAACATGCTTGGACAGGTAGTTGTTGATGATCATTGTGTGAAGCCGGAAACCTAGCCTGTGAAATATTGGGCAGAAATCCAGAGTTCAATGTGTAGGTGTAAGAACAGCCTAAAATTGTTCTTCCCCTCTTTTCAAACATGGGTTAATTTATCTTCAAATGTGTTGTTGGGGGAATTGGGCCCAAAAAGGAACAGCATTGCAAGACTGTTCCACAGCATCCGTGGCTTGTGCCAGATTGAAACTTAATACCTTTGTTGGTATATTTCAAGTGTTTGTATCTTGTCTTGGGTGGGGTGGGGGAAATAAAAGCCTCATGAGATGATTCAGTGTTTTTAATAAAACAGACTTAACTGGAAATCTTACTTTAGGGCAAAATAATGAAACATTACATCCAGTAAATGTGACACAGCTCTGGTTAAATCAGGAGTGTCCAACCTTGGCAACTTTAAGACCTGTGGACTTCAACTCCCAGAATTCCCCAGCCAGCATAGTATAGCTGGCTGGGGAATTCTGGGAGTTGAAGTCCACATGTCTTAAAATTGCCAAGGTTGGATATATCTGAGTTAAATGGTGAAGGTATGCAAAGCAATTTCGGTAGTTAGCAGCTGGTGATTTAACAACTTAACAATAGGATGTCTATCCTGTGTCTGTGAATGGTCTTCTAGGTGCTTAACATATTCGCTTCTCACACAGGTTTAAGGTTTAGAAAGGTCCTATGTTTGCAGAGCTGATCCAGCCTATGATAAGGATTTTCATTGTCACCCAATGTAATGGCTTTCTCTTCCTTTTCAGCTGAATTATCTCAGGTGATTAACAGTGGCACATCGCTGTTGAAGCCTTCACCACCTCTGCCTCCCAAGAGGGGCCTCCCGCTGAATGTACCTTCCTTGCTAGAATCCTCCGCCGTTGCTCCCAAATCCCCTACTGAGAGGATCATGCCGTCCTATCCTTCCTCGCTACCTCCACACATGATCTCAACTCTCCCTCCAGCTGCTCCTTCAACCTCCCTGCCTCCTCACATTCCATCAGAACCCCTCAACGCTCCACTGCCTAGCTCCCTCTATGGAGCAGAGCCCCCCTTTTCTGCAGAACTTCGGATGGGGAGTCAACAAGAAAGTCTATCCATGATGGATCCAGCCAGAAGAGTGGCCGAGCGGGGGTTTGGAGAACCTCAAGGGCCTCCTCGGTTGTCCCAGCTCCCGCTGCACATCCGCATCCAGCAGGCCTTGACTAGCCCTCTGCCAGCAACCCCACCTGCCGAAGGCTCACACAGGGCTCATTCTCTGCTCTTCGAGAACGAAGGCTCCAGCGAGGAGAATGGAGCAGTAGGCAGGACAAGGTCTCTACCTGTGACTATCGAGCTGCTGAAAGTGTGAGTCACACTTTGGTTTGCTAGTCAGAAGCCGGGCGTGGTCAGATTGCTCTCCTTTTTTGTGTTTCCTCTCAAGTGTAAACTTTTCTTTTTGTTAAAAATTAGTGACAAGTGCAGATTTAAACCACATCTTGGTAGTCCTCAACTTACGACCACAATTGAGCCCAAAATTTCTGTTGCTAAGTGAGAAATTTCTTAAGTGAGTTTTGCCCCATTTTACGACTTTTCTCACCACATTTGTTAGGTGTCTAGGAATGTTCTCAGTGGAGATACTGAGTATGCTTTGTGAAAAGCCGGCAGATAATAATAATAATAATAATAATAACAACAACAACAACAACAACAATAATAATAATAATAATAATAATAATAATAATAATAATACAGGGACCTTGGAGGTCATCTGGTCCAACCCCCTGCTCAGGCAGGAAACCCTTAGTTCTTAGTTTGTTAAGTGAATCTGGCTTCCCCATTGACTTTGTCTGTCAGAAGGTCGCAAAACGGGATCAATCACGTGACTCCTTGACACTGTAACTGACATAAATGTGACTCATTTGTCAAACATCCAAATGTAAATCACGTGATCATGGGGATGCTGCAGTGGTCATAAGTATGAAAAATGGTCACATTTATAACTTTGAACAGTCACTAAATGAACTGTTATAAGTCGAGGACTAGACTACCTGTCTAGGAATGTTCTCAGTGGAGATACTGAGTATGCTTTGTGAAAAGCCGGCATTAGGGTGACCTTCCCTGAGATCAATTATACTGTCTGGAAATGATTAATGGTGTAATCCAGCACATCATGAGGGCACGAGGGTGGAGAAGGATACCTAAAAGTATTTACAAGTGATTGATTTGTTGGCTGGGGTCATGCAATATACCCAATCCTAAGCTTTGGTAAATAAAAAAAAAAACCACAATTCACATAATATGCTGAAGCTAAAAAAAGAAGCCATATATGATGACTAAACAGGATGACCAATTCATATCACGTGCTAAGGCCAAGGCTGATCCCAGAATAGGCTAAACCACAAACTACCAAATTTAATTTTATCCCGGTCTTCTGCGAATTGAGAATCAAATTGCTATAAATCTAAACTGAAAGAATTAAGCTGTGTAAAGATTGGGAAATAATCATATTGACCTGTTTTGCATTTTAATTTTTGTTGGGACGGCAGACAAGCATGGTGTCTCTCGGCAGTTGATATGCTTGTGCAGTACTGTACAAGATTGGTTGCAAAATGCAACCAAGAATGAGGTGAAGGGAATGGCTATAATAGACTAGACTGGAATTTGAGAATTCCCAAACACACACATACCCCCAGAGTCATGTATCCAGATGAGGTAGAGATTGTATGTTATAAGCAAATAGAGCCAGAATAAAGTAAACAAAGTTTGTTAACCTGCCCTCAAACCAATACCTGTAATGGTTAGTGAGAGTAACCCCTGTGAGGCAGAAAGAAGAGCTACAGCCAGGACCCTCCGTAGTTCTTTGGAAAGTAAAGATAAAGAAGGGGAGAAGTACTTTCAGACTTGCAAGATTCTGTTACTGTAACCTTACAATACCTGTAGTGTTAGTACTTAGGGTTTTGGTTTCTTGTCTGGAGTACGGTACTTGAAGGGCTGATAATACCACACTTAAATTCTTTTCTCTTGGTAATTTCACTCAGAGAGTGAGGTAGGCAGTACCTAAATGAGATAGATGGTAGGTAGGTAGGTAGGTAGATAGATAGATAGATAGATAGATAGATAATAAATTGATTATAGATTAGATAAATGATAAATAGACTATAGATTAAGATAGATAGATTAGAAATAGATAGATAGATAGATAGATAGATAGATAGATAGATAGATAGATAGATAGATAGATAGATAGATAGATAGATAGATAGATGATAGACAGACAGACAGACAAATAGATAGGTATAGAACCATTTGCTTTTGAAAAATATCTCATTACGTTAAGTGAGATAATTTTTCCAGGTCAGATAGCAGACAGTGGGGACTTATCCTAATTGGGTCCTTGGCATGGGGGAATTTTTCTGTGGGGTTCCCAGTACATAGGCTGCTCCTATGCCTCCAGTATTAATAGCTGAGAAAGGATCCTTTTCTTTCAGAAGAGAATTAAAAACAAGTAAATGGGCATCTTTGGATTCTCCAAACCAAACATTTTCCAATCTATTGCACGTCCTTATTGTTGGGATGATAGCTTCTAGAATTCAGGTCAGAACGGCTAAACGAGTTCTGGAATTTATAATATCAGATCATCTTCCTTGTGGAGGGAAGTGTCCCTATAACATTTTTAATATTACACATCGGTCATCTCTTGTGATATACAGTATTAGGCTACTGTGCAGGCCATCCACTGGTCCTTTTGCTAGGGTAGTTCTAGAACTATTGATTAATGCCTCATAACAATAGTAGTTATTATATAATGGGAATAATTGTGTGTCCTTTACTTGATAGTCCAGACGATGAAGAAGAAGAGGAGGAGGAGGAGGAAGATGGCTCAGGAGATGCATGTCCTTCCAATCACCATGTTTACATTGGAGACGCCCCAATGGTTGCGGTTATTCCTAGGCTGATCCTGCAGACAGTGCAGGATGAAGACGAGGGACCAAGTGATTCGGATTCAGAGGGACCCATTTTGTACAGGGAGGAAGAGGAGGAGGAGGAAGATGAAGACGAAAGCCACAACAGTAAGAGTCTCCTCTTCCCTGCCTTTAAGATCACATTTACTCTACTTATGTCAGAACTATGGACTGGCTAGGAAAAGCAACAAAAAGTATGATTGTAATTGAACATTTTTTTGCCCCAAATAATACATCAATCAGCCTTAATTCCCTACCATCGTGGTGGCGAACCTATGGCACGCGTGCCACTGCTGGGCCGAGATGCTCCCTCCTCCTCTCCGCGCATGCCCAGGTTTCCGCAGAGCTGCACATGCGCAGCTCTCTGCACATGTGCAGTCTGGGAATAGGCAAGAGGCTATAAAGCAGTGGTGGTGAACCTATGGCACGGGAACCAGAGGCGGCACTCAGAGCCCTCTCTGTGGGCACGCGCGCCGTCGCCCCAGTCCTGGGCCTTCAGCTGGGTTTTATAAAACCTTTTCGCTTTAAGCCTCTGCCGCCGTGTGCAAAAAAAAAAGTTTCAATCAATCAATCAATTTCTCGCGGGGAAAAAAAAATCTCGCAAAGTTGGANTCAGGGCGGTGAACAGGCGATAATAAAAACCACGATAAATATACGCAAGTTTCTGTTCTAAAATCAAATTAAATAACAGGCCTGCTCTAAAATACCCCATACAAAACCCCCACTAAAACATAATCAAACTACGCCAGGCCGGCCGCACGGAATAGATGGGCCTTCAGGGCTCGGCGAAAAAGGCGCAGGTCCGCAACTGATTGAACTTTTTAGTCCCACCCAGTCTTCCATTACCACCGCAGCCATGCCCACCCAATTGGCCACACCCAGCCAATGGGCCACATCCACCCGGCACTTGATGATGCATAAGTGGGTTTTGGGTTGCAGTTTGGGCACTCAGTCTCTTAAAGGTTCGCCATCACTGCTATAAAGGGAGCAACTTTCGGCGGAAGCAGGCACGGAAAGTGAGACAGCAGCCTTATGTGCGTCCCCATGTGTGAGTGTACCCCTGCCCTGCCAGGCAAGCGGAGCCGCGGCATCTTCGGCAGAAGAGCGCAGGTGGGCAGCGGAAGGCACGAGGAGCCCCAATCCCAGCACAGCCCCTCCTCCCCCCCTCGGAAGAGCTGCGGAGCTCAGGAGCCTCCCCCCAAACCTCCCACCCACTGGGCAAGATGCCCTCCTGCCCACTGCCCCACCTGCCAGAGCAACATTGAGTTGGACACGCCCACCACGCCCACCATTTCCACCATAGCCACGCCCACCCGGCACCTGGCGATACATAAGTGGGATTTGGGTTGCAGTTTGGGCACTTGGTCTCTAAAAGGTTCGCCCCGACTGCCCTACCACCTATCATGAATGCAGAACTGGAACAGAATCTAAAGATTTAGGCATAGTTAGATGTAGAGGTAGTCCCCGACTTACAGCCATAATTGAGCCAAAATTTTCTGTCGCTAAGGGAGACATTTGTTAAGTGAGTTTTGCCCCATTTTACAACCTTTCTTGCCACTGTTCTTAAGTCGGACATTTGTTAAGTGAGTTTTCCCCCATTTTACGACCTTTCTTGCCACGCTTTTTAAGTGAATCACTGCAATTGTGAAGTTAGTAACATGGCTGTTAAGTGAACCCGGCTTCCCCATTGACTTTGCTTGTCAGAAGGTCGCAAAAGGGGATCACATGACCCCGGGACTCTGCAACCGTCATAAATACGAGGCAGTTGACAAGCGTCTGAATTTTGATCACATGACCATGGGGCAATGGTTAGTGTGAAAGACAATCATAAGTCCCCTTTTTCAGTGCCGTTGTAACTTTGAACGGTCACTAAATGAACTGTTGTAAGTCAAGGACTCCCTGTATATTAGTTTCCTTTTTTTGTACGTGTTTCTCTTCTAGATGTACATTATTCTTTTTTTTATTTTGGTTTGTACGCTCCCAAGACTTTATGGTGTTGGGTGGTTCTCTAAATTTGATCAAGAAATGCCTCAGTTGCTTTTGATTGTCTTGTGAGCATTTGCTGTCTTGTTTTCCCTAGCGGCCCTGGCCAATAAAGTCAAGAGGAAAGACACCTTGGCTATGAAACTGGGAAACCTGGCTTCCCGGCAGGAATTGCCAAGAGAGAGCACTTTCCCTCGGAAGAGCAAGGAAGAGTGGAATGAAATCCGACAGCAGATTGGGACAACGCTAATCAGGTAGGAAGGGCTAAAGTCAGTAAAAGCAAGCATTTGGCTTACTTGCAACACGTTGTTTGGGCTCCTTTGTCCTCAAGGATCATGGGGGTACCCATATTTGCAGCTCAGGATTGAACCGGGGGGCTCTCCGAGCTTGGTGATTTGCTTGCAGAGATTTCATTACTCAACTGGTTAGTGCTGATGATGTTACCTAGTATGGTAATGAAACGTTTGCAAGAAAACCACCAGCCTCAGAGAGCACCAAGGACCCCACGATCATGGCTATGTTTGCCATTATGTTGTATATAGTATGTTTAGGTGTGTGTCATGTATGTGTTTCACTTTGAGAGCGGGCAACTAAATTTCATTTTTGATGTGTGCCATTGTGCCCACAGTAAAAAAAATGACAATAAAGGTTATCTTATCTTATCATCCAGACCATATTCCCCAGTTTTAAAGGTATGCAGCCCTGTTACCTGTTTAGGTCCTGGCAGTCTTATGAACAGGGCTTTGGTCTACCTGGGTTACTAAGGACATTTATAACAACAACAACAACAACAACATAAAAAGTTGGAAGGGACCTTGGAGGTCTTCTAGTCCAACCCCCTGCTCAGGCAGGAATCCCTATACCATTTCGGACAAATGGCTGTCCAGTCTCTTCTTAAAAACCTCCAGTGTTGGAGCATCCACCGCTTCTGGAGGCAGGTGGTTCCACTGTTCCGTTTATCTTTAAAGAGTATTATCCATAGGCACCACAATTTCTGCAGAGCCATAAAATTCCCATGGTTGACTTCAGGGGAAGAGTAGTTCTTTTTTTTAAATAAGATACACGTGCAATCAGAAGTGGGAAATGGTATCTTAATCTGGACCATGGATTGTAACAAAGTGATTTAGGGAAATCCTGATGTCAATATGCTGTTTAATGTTCTGACATTTTTATATATATAACTCCAATTCTTAACTTGAAGAGTTTGTACTCCGCCAGCTGTGGCTGAGTGACCTTGAGGCTCCAGGGCTTTTTTCCAACAGTTCAGGCACAACTAGAGTTGTGGCCGTTTACAGTGTTTTGTGTCATTACAGGGGAAAGCTTTTCTTCAGGAAGATAGGATTGTGCAACATTTTGGCTTCAAGAGCAAAAACACAGTTTTGGAACAGGAGGTGGGCTCATGTAGCACCTGTCTGGCAGCTCTTACAGCAGCCACACCTTTCCCAGTCATTCTGCAGCTGGGCCCCACAGTCCCCATATAATCCTATAGAGAAGGCTTCCCCCACATTGATTTTGCTTGTTGGAAGCCAGCTGAATTCGAAGAATTGCAAACCAGTGCAAGGTTTATGCCCCTACCAGGAGTAGGCAACCTTGGCTCTTTTATGATTTGTGGACTTCTATACCCAGAATTCCTGAATCAGCCATGTTGACTCAGGAATTCTGGGAGTTGAAGTCCACAAGTCATAAAAGAGCCAAGGTTGCCTACCCCCGCCCTACACTTTCCAGAGCATCTTTTTTGCCTTCAAAGCCAAAATACTTCTTTAAAAATATGACATTGTTATTATGACTACTGCGAAGCCTTTGTGTACTTGCCTTTGCCTAAAACAATGTTTTTCTTTTAAAAAAATAAAAAGGCGATTAAGCCAGAGACCAACGGCAGAAGAATTGGAGCAAAGGAATATACTTCAGCGTAAGTAACGGCAACTCAAGACTTCCCTTATGCTTGTCTACCAGATAGTTGATACTGTTGTTGTACAGATACTCCTCAACTTACTGTATGATCACATTTGGGATGGGAATTTCCATTGCTAAGCAAAGCAGTTGTTAATTGAATCATGCCTGATTTTATGATGTTTTTTGCCATGGTTGTTAAGCAGATCATTGCAGTTGTTAAGTGAAGCACAGGTTGTTAAGCGACCTGACTTTGCTTGTTGGAAAGCAGCTGGGAAGGTCAGAAATAGTGATCGCTTGACCCTGGGACACGGCAACCCTCATAAGTGCATCCAGGTTGCTAAAGCAGCTGAATTTTGATCATGTGACCATGGGGTTGCTGCAGTGGTCATAAGAGTGAGGACTGGTTATAAATTACTTTTTTCAATGTTGTGATAATTTTGAACCACTGCTAAACAAATGGTAGTAAATGGAGGACAACCTGTACACAGTATAGAAACTGATGGGGAACTTATGATGCATGTCTCATTTTGATAAAGACATCCAGTACCTGCTGAATCCCAAGGCCATTTAGATAGAAAATTTACTGTGACTTTTACTGGGAATAAATGCACGTAAATGCATGGCCCATATTTATGTATTATGAAATCTCCCCGACTTAAGTTCCTAAAGTGCACAAGACTAGTCTTAGGGAAATCATTTGCTCAACATGTGCACACATACACATCTGAGGCCTTATCTAATCATAGTCCACATGAAACTAACCTGGAAAGAGATTTCAGCATCTTTATTTATTTATTTTTCCTCCTCTTTGGCAGCAAAAAATGAGGCTGATCGGCAGGCTGAGAAGAGGGAAATAAAAAGGAGGCTCACTCGAAAGGTATGAGATACTCCAGATGTTCTCCCGTTTACAGAGCAACCTGTAGGTGGTGACCCTACAGAGAATGTCACCACCTACAGAGGTGTTGCAGGATTTATTCAGTATTTATCCTGAGATGTTCATTCAGAGTACAGTGCTAAGAGCTTTAGACTCTGGCCTGCTGTGGGTCAGGAGGCTATTGCCAAGCCTGTGCTCTAGAAGATGAAAAGAATAGGAAAAATCTGGTCTGACTCCGTTCAGAGATGCATTATACATGGCTGGTTAGAGAATTCTGGGAGTTGAAGTCCATACTTCAAGTTGCCAAGGCTGAGAAACACTGCCTTAACCCAACGCCTGCTTTGAATTTTTTGCAATGATGGGTATACAGTCAGTGTGAGCCCCAAATGGGTATATAAACTGCATTCCCCAAAGTTTCTCTATGTCTTTCCCTTTCTGGCTTTAACCACTTCAAGTATTAGACTTTCAGAACCCTGAAATGAGATTTTGCTCAATATATCTCAGCTTTCCTCAAACTGGTGCCCTCCAGAAAGAAGCATTAGGACTTCAGCTTTTCAAAAATCCCAACCATTTGGTAGTCCCAATAAATCTGAAGGCTGCTGGTTTGAGGAAATGAGACATGCAAAGGCTTATTTTGAAAATTTATCCCTGGAGATTTTAAAGGCCAGAAGGAAATGGAAGTAAGTGACACACTTGCCTTATTATTGTAACACTGCTATTTGCAGTGTTAGCTAGTCACCGCCGTGTGAGAATGATGGGTTTGGCATACTCATGACTTTCAAGTTAAGCCTTTGCAACCTAGTCTTGCAAAACTGTTATTATAAGACTTTGCAAAGGACAATTGCACCCAAGCATTTCTGCCTTCCTGTGTTGTTGCCCCTGTGCAATGTCCAGGAAGTGTGACATTACACAGATATCAAGGCATTGTTACACTCACTTCCACTTGTGTAGGAGAGTATTGAGTGATGACTTTAGTACGTAGATTTTCTCTCTCTCTCTCTGCCTTTTAGCTTAGCCAAAGGCCTACTGTGGCTGAACTACAGGCCAGAAAGATCCTGAGATTTCATGAATACGTGGAGGTAACCGATGCCCATGACTATGACAGGAGAGCAGACAAGCCGTGGACAAAACTCACTCCTGCTGACAAGGTAAAAGGACAAAGTAAACGTTAAAATTACAAAGTTAAAAACTCTCTGCTTAGCCTCCCTCTAGTCCTGCTTTTGCCATGTTCACATAATTAAGCCTCCACCTGGCCAGCTTGGTTATTAAATAATTAATTGTTAAAACCTAGAGACTGCCCAACTCCAAACAACACAGGGCAGTTTAAAGTTCAAAAAAAATAAGAAGCACACATACACAAAATGACTATAATAACAAACCTCCAGAAAGAGGCTCACTGCCCACGCTACTCCCAGGCCTGGGAGAAGACCTCAGTCTTCAAAGATGCTTGGAATGTCATCATGGGGAGCCATATAGATTTTTGGGAGGGTAGTGTTCCAGAGGGCAAGTGCTGAAATAAGGAAGAGGTGCTTCCTGGGTCCTGTTAGGTGCCATGGCTTAATCGAAGGAACCCAGAGCACACCTGCTCTACCTGATATCACTGCAGGGCTGAAACTTTCAGAAATAGGTGGCCCATTAAACCGCCAGGCCTTTATAGGCGATAACCAGCACCTTGAATGCAGAAGCATTTTAATTAATACATGTTCTAGGTTTATACAATTCATTGAACCTTTTCCCTTCCTCCTATCCTCATTCTTATCCTCATCCTCATCCCCCATCCCCATCATCCTGCCCTGTCCTGCCCTCCTTTCTCTTCCCTATTTGTTTCTTTATACTTTCCCCCATATTAATTTATTTCCCTTACTTTTCCCTTTTAAAATTGGTATTGTTTTTTTTCTTTTAAAAATGTATTTAATAAAAATTATATACCCCCTCCCATTCATTGATTTTCCAAAACAAGCTGGCTTTAATTAACTCTCAGAGCCAACCCCCAAATAGGTTTGATATTCATTTAACCTAGCTTGCTGTATTACAGCTACTAGGTGTATAAGCGATCTAGTTATGCTCTTTTGTGAGCACAGGGCTGAACATTGCTCCACTTCCACTTTTGTCCTCAGCTGCCTTTTTTTATTCCCAGGACTGTTTTCAAGACCGGAGCTATTTTTAACAGCCTTTGATGCAATCCTGTCATCCTTTACTCTAATGAAGCCCAAGCATGCATCAGAGAAAATATATATATATATATATATATCTTTTCTGTCACCTTTTCTTGTTGTTGTTGTCTTGCAGTTTTCCCCCCTCCATCAGTTTTAGAATATCAACTTTATAAACTACTATAAAGCATCATCTACACTGGGATGGAGAATCTGAGTCTTCCCAAACATTTATAAATTTATAACTACTCACAACACCAGTGAGCGTAGCCAGTGACAAAGGGTTGGAACTTGGTGTTCAGATAGCAGTATTTGGAGGACCCAAAGCTCTTTATTGTTAACGTATATCTTGTGTTGCTACGTTAATATTAATAGCAGGGCTAAATAAAGATTTTTATCCTCTTGCTCACCACTGCTGAGTATCAAGATCCCTTCTCCCCACCGTTTCCTTTCTTGCTGCATCGCATGACCTTCCCAACCAGCTATCCTCCCACTCCTGCAGACTGATACTTCCTGAGCTAGACCCCAAATGGGGAACTGACTGCTAGGGTGACCATAAAAAACGGTGCGTGGGAGGGTGTCTGTGTGTGTGTACACGTAGACACATTCATGTACAGGCAGTCCTCAACGTAAGGCCACAGTTGATCCTCAAATTTCTGTTGCTTAAGGGAGACAGTTGTTAAGTGAGTTTTGCCCCATCTTATGACCTTTCTTGCCACCGTTGTTAAGCGAATCGTTGCAGTTGTTAAGTTAGTCACAAGGGCGTTAAGTGAATCTGGCTTCCCCATGGACTTTTCTGATCGTCTCGGTGGACTGTTTGGATAGTGTCCAGACGACCATGAAACTGGGAACTGATGGGATTTCTCTGCCCCTTTTATATAGGCTGCCATCCGGAAGGAGCTGAACGAATTCAAGAGCTCGGAGATGGAAGTGCATGAAGAGAGCAAGCAGTTCACTCGGTATGCTAAGAGGCGGTTGCTCAGGTGGACTCTCTCCCCATAGCAGGAGGGTCAGGTTCATGCCACACCATGGGCAGAACTTAGCTTCTGACCTACTAAATCTCCCTTATATTTAGAATAGGTTGTACTTCAGGCTGAGCCATGGTCATGCGGCATAGCTGTAATCAGCACAACCTAGTTTTTGCAGATTTATTTGGAAATAGGCCTGGAAGAGTATTTAAAGTTTCAGGTTTTTGGCATGTGCATTTTGCAGAGAGTTCCCATCTCCAAATCTGGACTATGTGAGAGGCTGCCTGTCCTTGGTTACATCAGCCTTTCCCATTCGATCTAGCAGAGAAGGCATTCTGTGATACCGTCAATTAGCAACCATATATCTCAGTATATATGCCTTCTCTGCAATGCCTTGTGGAACATTCTTCCTCCTGAATTTAGATTAGCTCCATCTATTTTGATGTTCTGGAAAACCCTCAAGACCTGGTTATAGTCTAGTGGTTAAAACCACCAGGCTAGAAACTAGTAATTGTGAGTTCTAGTCCTGCCTTAAGCATGGAAGCCAACTGGGTGACTTTGGGCCAATCATCAGGCGACTGTGAGTTCTAGTCCCATCTTAGACATGAAAGAGCCAGCTGGGTGACTTTGAGATAGTCCCTCTCTCTCAGCAACCTCACAGGATTATTGAACTGGGGAAAATAGGAGGAGAAGGGAGTATCACGTATGTTCACACCTTGGGTTATTTATAAAAATAATAAAGGCAGGTTAAAAACATCTAAAGAAAACCCCTCTAGAAATCCTGTAATAACACCTGGGATTGGCAGAGAAGTGCCATTCTTATCCTCCTTTTGCCTAGGGTCGATATATTTGTTTTTATAATTTTTATTTTAATCTGGATTTTATCTTTTTATATTGTCTGTTTTTCTATGTGTTGTTAAGTGATTGTTGTACCAGGGTTACGTTGTGTGTGTGTGTGTGTGTGTGTGTGTGTGTGAGAGAGAGAGAGAGAGAGAGAGAGAGAGAGAGAGAGAGAGAGAGAGAGAGAGAGAGAGAGAGAGATGGGTAGATGGATGGATGGATGGATGGATGGATAGATAATTATTTGATTCTTTATACCTGTCTTGCAGATATCATCGGCCTTGAGGATTTTTTAATTTTTTTTATTTTAAAAAAGAAAAACAGCAAGAAGCACGATCAGTCACTGGAGGAGAAGCGAACTAGCCATGTTTATCATTTCCTTTCTCAGAAGTTGAAGAGGAATCTTGAGGCTTGTTTGAGATTAGCCTCGTTCACATAACTAGAAGAAAAGTTTCTCTTCAGCAAGAAATGGGCCAGGGATGGGAACGCCCTTGTCCCAAAGTTAGCATTTCATTGAAAGGAAATTTGTCACAAGTGCCACGAGATCACACAGCGGGGCAGGTCACAATCGAAAGCATTATACCTCAGATATATGGCAATACAAACGGATGATGCCCCTTGGTTCCTTGTCTTCTGCCTAATTCTGAACAGTTTAATATCCCTGACTCAAAGGAAAGCGAGACTATCGGAGCAGACTTGAGCTGTGGAATGAGAAGCGTGCACGTACTTACATTATGCTGTACCCAGAAGAAACTTTTAACTGACACATTACTGGAGATTTGGGAAAGGTGCTTAGGGGCTTTTTTTTTTTTTTTTGAGTTACTAATTTGCAGAATCACTACTGACCAATCGTATGTTGTCTAGCAGAAGAATTGTTGAGCTCTAACATGGTATATGCTGCATCTTGGGGGGGGGAACATAATTTTTTTAAAAAATGGAGGGCAAGAAGCTCCCTTCGTCACTCAAATTTGCTATAAAGCTAAGAGACCGAATTTTCTGTGGGGAAGGGATGCACCTTTAGGCCTGTTTAACAGGAACTGCAAAGCCTGAAATGAGTTGCCTTTAAGAAGCAGATGATGTGGAATATACTGTATTTTTGAAAATCGTGGCTTCTTTTATTTTAAAAAGCAACTTCCTGAAATTAATATGGAACTTGCCCTTTCTTAGATTTGTAGCAAAACGTACTGAAACGTAATGTTCTACAAAGGGCTTAAACTCAACTTTTAAGGAAAGGAAAGGAAAGATGGCATGGCATTAATAGATTTTATGGAATGGTTCTGAATGGTATCGCCACATCTGAGATGCGTGTCCTATGACGCTGGAGTGAGGAGATGTAGGGGGGGGCGAGAAATACAAAAGTGGGAATTGGGACATGTATTAGATGTTGGTTCTGTGTTCGAGGATTGGTTTGGTGGCACATCTCTTCACACATCTGTAAAAGGTCACACGCGTAGAAGCTTATAGATGCATGTGAGCTGGAAGCTGATATTGCTGTGCTTCCTCAAGCTGGAAGAAGACCTTTTTTTTGTTTGTTTGTTTTGCTGCTACTTTTGCAACTACACACCTTTCTTGGAGGAGGACGACCCAGACAGAAGAGGAAGGATTCAGATATCTTAAAAACATTGTGCAGTCAGTTGGGTCCAGTCTTCTTGAATAAACCCCTTTTTAGTTCTGACTGCTTTCGGTGGCGATTAAGGGCAGTAGGTAGCTTAGCCTGGATCCAGGCGCTTCTTATCTTCTTTCTCTCTAAGAATTGGTCCTCCCGTGGGTGAGCCTGGGGGAATGCAAGGCACGGCAAGCTTGCCTTCACACCCCCTAACTCTCATTCCAGCCGATGCCAGTTGCCTTCCTGGCGTCCCTGTGAAGGGAGGAGAATGGGGCCTTGTCTTTGTAAGGAGCAGTTTTTCCTTACAATGTAAGGAGAAAAGATTTTGATGTGGGATTGTGGGATAAGTGCCAGTGTACTCTTGTTCTGAGCAGTTTTTTTTCATGATGTATAAAATCTCTATTAAGGAAATCATTGTGTTGTCTTCCTATCAACAAGATTGTATGAAATAAATTTTTTTTTTAGGAAAAAAACCTTCTCCTTGCCTTTTGTTCTGTTTCTTCTTCCCCACCCTAGCGCATATGGTTTTTTAATGAGTAACAACAGGGGTGCTTATTCGTAGATTTATTTGAGACTGATTGAGTATCTACCTCTGCAGGTAGATAGGAAATGGGATTATGCTGTGGTTGCACAGCAATTCCCTCGACACCTGGATGAAACTGTCTATCTAGACCCATACCAGTCGGGTTTCAGGCCGGGGCACAGCACGGAAACGGCATTGGTCGCGTTGGTCAATGATCTCTGGAGGGCCC